CTTATGTGAAAAAAGAACTTGCTGAAGAAACATTCACAGATGACGAACGGCAGCGTGTTCTTGATGTGTTTACTCGTACGACATTCGAAAAAGATACGATTGCTGTGCCATTAAAAAACATCGATAACTGGATAGCAATGCTGAAACGATTGATGATTCGTGTGCTCAATGCAAATGTTAGTCTTGAAACACCGCTTCAATTGTATCTCGAGCGTACGGATCTTTGGAGCGACCGAGTTAGTGATGTTGATCTGGAAACATTTCAAGTCGATGATGATATTTTACTTCAACATACATATGTTATCCTTGGAGGTTTAGAAAAGAAACAAAAATCAAATGGTAAGATGTCACAACAACAACAAAGACCATCGGAAATCCAAACTGTTGAAGCACAAAGACAGAAAGCTCAAACATGGTTCGAAACAACAGCTAAATCATCAACAACTCCGAAAGTTCTCGCTGATAAAAAGAAAGACAAAACCAAACTACGCGTTTAACTTTTTTGATTATTCGCTCTCTTTTTAATCTAGATTTTAATAAAACTCATGTTGTTCACGTCAATTTCAAAGATTTAAACGATGTGCTACCTATAAACACAAATCAATATATCATGTCGACTGTCTCACACAAGTGTATTCATATCAAGTACCACCATGCTGATTTATTGTAAATAAAGGACGTACTGTCTTTTCAATAAGGATAATAATTGCGACCTGCATTATTAAAGTCACCTCGTCCACGTCCTCGACCCCTTGACTGAGGGTTTTGTGTATATCCTTGTTGCGTTGGTCGCGAGGATTGACCGTTTTGTTGTGATCGATACGCGCCATTGGATTGATTTTGGTTATTAAACTGTCCACGGTAATCGTGGCGACCCGTGTTGTCAAAAGATCCTCGTCCTCGGCCCCTTGGCTGAGAGTTTTGTGTATATCCTTGTTGACGTTGTTGCGTCGATCGCCATGATTGACCGCTTTGCTGTGTTTCGTGCGTTCCACGGTAATTGTTGCGACCATTTGTGAAATTCCGCTGTCCTTGATCATAATTATCACGATCCTGGGAGAAGTTGTCATTATTTGAATCTATTGATTGTCGTGAATCTCGACGATGACGAGAACGGACAGTTTCCCAACCTCCATCTTCGTCAACATTACTCTCGATATTATTCTGATTAGTAGCACTAGGTGATACTGTAATAAATCTGCATTTGTAGCTGCTGTTTACCAGTGATACTGAATCAAAGTTACTACTCCTACAAATAGATGTTTGACATACACATAACATAAGATTCAGTTTTAAGAAACTCACCAATTAAAGACTTTAGCTAAGGCAATCATTGCAGGATTGAGACAATGCTCGATAATAATAAGAAAGTATGCTTCACGTTCTACAGCAATACTTTTACATTTGTCGAGTTCATTTTGAGATATATGAAACCTAGTCTTGTCTTCATGAAAAGCTCCATTTGTTCCTTTAACTTCAAAGTAGCACATCTTAGCTCTTGACTCATATCCTTTCACAAACACTTGTTTTGTATCATATAATTCCAAGTCATAACCGGCTGAATCATTTATATTACGTGTGCATCCTGAGTAGACCTTTGCTCGTGCAGATGATCGCCAATTTCTAACTGGTGTAACATCCTTTTTGCCATACTCCTTTTGTAGATAATCAAAGAAAAAATGCTCGGCCTTTTGACCAATACGAATATGTTGTTCACCATCAACAATAGATGGATCTGTCCAATCCTTTGGTATTTTTCGATCTAAATTACGGTGATCCTGCTGTTTCACACGCTCTTGGTAAATTTCGTCTTCCAGAGATCGTTCTGGAGCGATGTGAATTTCTTGTGGATCTTCTTCAGTTATACAGTTGTCACCAATTGAAAAAACAATCGACTCGACCGATTCATGATCTACTGGAAAAATCACAGCCAGTAATGCATAGATGCTAGGTGCAGTGCTGGAGAATGATGAAAGGTGTGTTGAAGCAAATGCGTCACAATTGCTGATTTTTTGTTGTGCAATCATTTTCGCTTCGTCGAAGGATTTATATCGACATTTATGTAATAGAGTTGCCAGAGCTGATATGGCTACGATAGCTTTGGCAGAATTATCTTTGAAGTAATCAGTGCATATGAGAACAGTTTTGTCAAAAATCCAAAAGGCATAGTTGCTCTCCATTCGACAATCATCCTCATCCGAACTATTGGACGTCTCTTCGACAGTACCATTTGAGAGTAACAAAGAAATTTTAGTAAACCTGGTGCTGATTACGTTCAGTTGACTATCCTCGATTACCTCCCGAAATATCTCCGTTAATTTTGTGAGATTATTTTCCATAGTATTATTCGGATGATCCCATCTTATCTTTCCGTGTTGTTCGACATAATCGATGTGTGACAAAGCCAAAGTCAATGGACACGTTCGAGTAATTACTGGAGAGATAAAATGACGTTTCTCAAATTTTCTTGATAGATTGTTGATGATTTTTATTTCAAAACACGCATACACAATATTCGTCGATCTCTTAGTAATCAGTCGATGACCATTGGTAACAAGTGGAAGAGACACGTTTCGAATCGAGTTACGAAGTAAGGTTTTCATTCCTGACGAAATCTCCTTTGAAGTCAATGCAAAACGCCATTTTAAATCTTCGGGACTGCCAGGTGGTGCATCCTGATTCTTCAGTTTGATAACTGTTCTGTAAAGATTACTGTCAGCTTCACTACTCTCAATACATTTAAGTAGCAAATCTTCAAAGTACTGTAAAAGAGTAATCATTGTTTCCATGCCAGTTTCATTTAATCTCGTCAATCCATTACCGATTGGATGAAAGTTTTGTGTATCATTTTTCACCAAACGAATAGTTTGGTAAATATCTTTAATAGTCACTTGACATTGACAATCTAACATACGAAATAGTCCTTTGAACGGCCAGTACACGGGATTGACTGTAGGAGAGATCAGTTGTAATTGCCGATATTTGCAAACTAAAGAAATGCCAGTTCGATGTTTATTATCGATTTCTGCCACGATGAGAAGATCTTTCAGGAGACAAAATTTTTCTTGATCTGGAAGATACAGCTGACAATCGGAAAGGAAACTTTCTTTGTCAACGGTTTCGATCTTTTCTTTGATATCGAGCTGTAATCGAGTTAACCAATGCAGGTAAAGATCAACATTGTCAATCTTTTCACTGCTCAAGTGTCGAAGAATATTCATACATGTTATTAGATCATATTCGGCACGAACACCCAGCTTCATTGCCAGTGTACAACAGTAAGGAGGAACATCGACTCGTGGTAATTTCACGAAATCGGCAGTTATAAATTGATTGAATGTCATTGAAACTGGTTGGATTCGCTGTTCAGAATTTATCATAGAAACGATCGGGAATTGTCGCAGTGCTTGCTGTGTATCTTCTGGCTGGGCTGAGAGAATGAATTCACCTAAACGAGCATACTTCTCATTTGTGAACATAGTAAACAATGGCAAAGTTGGCAATTGATCAAGAGTATAAGTATCGGGAAGGTTTATTGAAGGATGTTTACAGCCCATTTTTAGTAAGAAATCTTCCCATTGAAGATGATTGATTAAATGATTCGAATCGACAGTAAAATAAGGAAATCGAACAAACGTTACGGGTGTCGCCGACACATAGCGTCTGATGTCCAAACTCAAGATGGTCGGTAGAGTTGCGTTTTGAATAGAAGTCAAACAAGGATCAGAGCCTTGAATGGGTACGAGAAGTGGGTTGGAAGCATCTAATTTTTCAACACGAGATTGAAGATAAGATAAATCCTTCCAGATTTCTTCTAGTAAACTCTCATCTACAAGTATCATTATTGATGTTACACACAGATCTAGGTGTTGACACTGGATAATTTCGATTAACTTTTGCTCTGTTAAGATTTGGACCTTATGGAATCGTAGAAGAGCTGCTTTTTCGTCCAGTGATGCGTATTGAAGAACAGTTAATCGTGGTTTCCATATGCGAATGGACGAATCATCATTAATGTAAAGCTTTGGACAATTTCCGTTAGGTGTTGGCAGATATTGTCGTTCACGACTATCTTGAAGAAGAAAAATCGGCTTTTTGAACATGAGCTGCGATATATCTGGAGTCAGCCCTTCTAATAAACAATGAAAGAGTTGTGACCACCAGGATTCGTCTTGTTTCAGAGCCCACTGTTGAAATTCATTGCTTTCTTCATCTCGATTCGGAAAACATGTCAATACATCCGCGATAGAAACTTTTTTTACTTCGATAGATTCCAAAAGATCAACGTTATAGAATTTATCGGTCGCATCAATCACTCGAATATTAGCATAGTTTTCCAATTGTTTTGCAGAAATCAGAGGTGCCAGATTAGGATTCCAATAACGAATTATTTTACCTAGATATGAACGATGAACAAATTTAGAATTCAAAGTAATTCATACCTGCACGAATACCCAAAATATCGGAGAGATGTTTCTTGAATAAATTACGTATACGATCTACCATCGAAAGCCACCAGGAGGAGCGTTTGCCGTGGTGAGTATTTCCCAACGGACAAAAACGACCTATGTCTCTTTTTAAATCGATATCATTCGAAAGAAGATAAATGAAAAGAACAGCTAAATGATCTCGAAGGTAAATGTTAAGCTTAGCATTTTCGAGAACATTTTCTCGGTTTGTAACTAAATGAAACTCAGCATTGAATATAAAATTAAATCCAAGGTCACAAACAGGTAGACCCGTGTACACATTTGCTTTGAGAGTATATTCTGGATTACATGGAAATGCTATTGTTAACGTTGTTGTCGGATCTTTGCGTTGTTCAATTGAACTGGGAACTTCGATTTGGCAACTATACACTCGAAATGTTTCATCACCTTCGGGAGTACGTAATCGAACCATCGAACCCTTCAGATCGAGAAAAGTCAGATCCTCAAAGGGCACAATCGGTTGTGTTTCTAATTTTGTCAAACCGATCTTTTGTTTTGTTATCACTATTGATGCGTTTTTTCTTCGATCAACAACTTCCAGATTCTCCAAATGGCTCATGTTCAATAGAATACAGGAATCCACTGCATCCCAAACATCATTGAGAAACTGTTCAGCGGAAGAGTCACCTGCTGGTAATTTGAGTGGCAGATAAAGGTGAGTATGTTGAGGACGAGTGGAGATTTGTTCTGCGATCCACGAAGGAATGTCTTTCTCGGCTATCCATTTCGGTGTGATATACGACATTTCATCTCGACCAGGAACTTCGAAACGAAATCGCCATGCGTGCGAAAAGAGTGCCGGTTGATTGGATGCGGCAAAAACTGATTTGAATCCAACACCCTTCTCACCAATATGTTTCCTTTCACCAGTTTTTGTAGTCACTGCCAAACTACAAATAGCTGAAACGTCACANCGATGTTTATTATCGATTTCTGCCACGATGAGAAGATCTTTCAGGAGACAAAATTTTTCTTGATCTGGAAGATACAGCTGACAATCGGAAAGGAAACTTTCTTTGTCAACGGTTTCGATCTTTTCTTTGATATCCAGTTGTAATCGAGTTAACCAATGCAGGTAAAGATCAACATTGGCAATCTTTTCGCTGCTTAAGTATCGAAGAATATTCATACATGTTATTAGATCATAGTCGGCACGAACACCCAGCTTTATTGCCAGTGTACAGCAGTAAGGAGGAACATCGACACGTGGTAATTTCACGAAATCGGCAGTTATAAATTGATTGAATGCCATTGAAACTGGTTGGATTCGCTGTTCAGAATTTATCATAGAAACGATCGGGAATTGTCGCAGTACCTGCTGAGTATCTTCTGGATGGGCTGAGAGAATGAATTCACCTAAACGAGCATACTTCTCGTTTGTGAACATAGTAAACAATGGTAAAGTTGGCAACTGATCAATAGTATAAGTATCGGGAAGATTTATTGAAGGACATGTACAGCCCATTTTTAGTAAAAAGTCTTCCCATTGAAGATGATTGATTAAATGATTCGAATCGACAGTAAAATAAGGAAATCGAACAAATGTTACGGGTGTCGCCGAAACATAAGGTGTGATGTCCAAGCCCAAGACGGTCGGTAGAGTTGCGTTTCGAATAAAAGTCAAACAAGGATCGGAGGCTTGAATGGGTACGAGAAATGGCTTGGAAGCATCTAATTTTTCAACACGAGACTGAAGATAAGATAAATCATTCCAAATTTCTTCTAGTAAATTCTCATCTACAAGTATCATTACTGATTTTACGCACAGATCTAGGTGTTGACATTGAATAATTTCGATTAACTTTTGCTCTGTTAAGGTTTGAACCTTATGGAATCGTAGAAGAGCTGCTTTTTCGTCCAGAGATGCGTATTGAAGAATAGTTAATCGTGGTTTCCATATGCGAACGGACGAATCATCGTTAATGTAAAGCATTGGACAATTTTCGTTAGGTGTTGGCAGATATTGTCGTTCGCGACTATCTTGAAGAAGAAAAATCGGCTTTTTGAACATGAGCTGCGATATATCTGGAGTCAGCGCTTCTAATAAACAATGAAAGAGTTGCGACCACCAGGATTCGTCTTGTTTCAGAGCCCACTGTTGAAATTCATTGCTCTCGTCATCTCGATTCGGAAAACATGTCAATACATCCGTGATAGAAACTTTTTCTACTTGAATAGATTCCAAAAGATCAACGTTATACAATTTATCGGTCACATCAATCACTCGAATATTAGCATAGGTTTCCAATTGTTTTGCAGAAATCAGAGGTGCCAGAGTAGGATTCCAATAACGAATTGTTTTACCTAGATATGAACGATGAACAAATTTAGATTTCGAAGTAATTCATACCTGCACGAATACCCAAAATATCGGAGAGATGTTTCTTCAATAGATTACGTATACGATCAACCATCGAAAGCCACCAGGAGGAGCGTTTGCCGTGGTGAGTATTTCCCAACGGACAAAAACGACTTATGTCTCTTTTTAAATCGATATCATTCGAAAGAAGGTAAACGAAAAGAACAGCTAAATGATCACGAAGATAAATGTTAAGCTTAGCATTTTCGAGAACATTTTCTCGGTTTGTAACTAAATGAAACTCAGCATTGAATATAAAATTAAATCCAAGATCACAAACAGGTAGACCCGTGTACACATTTGCTTTGAGAGTATATTCTGGATTACATGGAAACGCTATTGTTAACGTTGTTGTCGAATTTTCACGTTGTTCGATTGAACTTGGAACATCGATTTGGCAACTATACACTCGAAATGTTTCATCACCTTCGAGAGTACATAATCGAACCATCGAACCCTTCAGATCGAGAAAAGTCAGATCCTCAAAGGGCACAATCGGTTGTGTTTTTAATTGTGTTAAACCGATCTGTTGTGTTTTGATGACTACTGATGTGTTTTTTCTTCGGTCAACAACTTCCAGATGCTCCAAACGACTCATGTTCAATAGAATACAGGAATCCACTGCATCCCAAACATCATTGAGAAACTGTTCAGCGGAAGATTTACCTGCTGGTAATTTGAGTGGCAGATAAAGGTGAGTATGTTGAGGACGAGTGGCGATTTGTTCTGCGATCCACGAAGGAGTGTCTTTCTCGGCTATCCATTTCGGTGTGATATACGACATTTCATCTCGACCAGGAACTTCGAAACGAAATCGCCATGCGTGCGAAAAGAGTGCCGGTTGATTGGATGCGGCAAAAACTGATTTGAATCCAACACCCTTCTCGCCAATATGTTTCCTTTCGCCAGTTTTTGTAGTCACTGCCAAACTACAAATAGCTGAAACGTCACAATATCGAAGACCTCGTTCATTATTCGAAAATAGAATATAATCATGATTCAACTCGATTCGTAAAGACGGGCTATGTTCATTATAAATATTATCTTCGGCGTTCTAAAAGAAATATCTCGCAATAGAATTCTCGAAATGAAACAAATGGAATTTACTTGAATTAGTTCGTCAAGAAAATGTACCGACGAACTGTAAAGATCCGAACCGAGATGTCTCAATGAGCCGCATATCGATTCTCGCATATCCTTGTCCTTAAATGTTTCTCTTCGATGGCATATCTTTCTAATGAACTGTTCAGCTTGCTCGCTTGTGATCTGATCAGGTGAGACATCTGGTAATTGATCGGTGTCATCTGTCTCGCTCACAGTATTGTCTTTTTCTGATGAAGTACTCGTCGAAATTTCCCCAGATTGGATGACGACATTCGCAGAAGTACCTAATTTGATTAAACGATCGATCTCTTTGGCCATTCGAATATTCTCTTTTTGATATTCATCTCGATCGGCCTTTGTACGTTGTAATTCTTCTTCGAGATGTTGAAATCTTTCATTAAGTGATTGCTTTTCCTGTTTCAAGTGTTCATAATCGCATTTTAATTGTAAAATGTTAATTTTCTCCCATTCGCTATCATATAATTTCTGAAAATCCTTCAATTGCTTTCCAGTTTCGTCGCATTGACCTAATATTTGAAGCTGCTCATGCAACGAATGGTATGCAGATAGTAGATCTTTCGTAGATGTTGAAGGTTTCTTCGGCTGATTGGCGGGTTCAACCGTTGTGATGACGTTAGGTGTTTCAATATATTCTTTCTCATCCTCGTCCTCATCAATGTGTTCCGTTTTCGATTGTACCAGTAGAGAGTACAAACGAAGGGGTATATCGACTTTGTTCATGTGAGATGAGCTACTTCGAAATAGCACTCCAATAGTGGATGGAATTATTGTCAGTAGATGGACTTGTCGTTTTACCGTGGTACTGATTGAGATCGAACCATTAATAAGGAACGATGTGAGCAGAGCATATAAGTTGATGATCAACAACAGTTTTTTATTAGACCTGTCTGCAATTTGAGATGATACAGCGAACTTTGGATCGGTTAGAATTTCGATGGCGTCAACAATTGTGTGAACGTCATCTGCTGTCACTTGCGAAGAATGGTCAAAACTTGCATAGAAAAGAGATGATAAAACTTCGAAATTAACCCAGTTCGCTAAAATTTCAGTATGTTGAAAGCAGTAGTCCATTTCCGATGACATTCGTGATTTGCGATCATCTGATCTAAAAAAAACTCTGTTGACATTCACATCTAAGTTTTACAAGACCTACTCGGAATCGAATGAGAGTGCTTCATCCCGGTACATTTCCTTCAGCCGTCGATACGGTAATAAAAGCTGCATAATTGCATTTAAAATTTTTCGTGCTGTTGATGGATCGACTGATAAATAAACATGGGCATATCTATGTTCATTTAGATCAGCACTAAGAATCTTTTCACAGAGATCCAGGCCAGCGAGTATAAGAGCATAATTTTGATGGCATACGAGTGAAAGACTCAATTCGAAAGTCTCGCGCGTGTTACTGAATAGTTTGTGACGAAAGAAAAAGTGTTTCGATACTTGGCAGACGCACCAAAGAATTGCATAGAGAAGAGAAAATGTCGACTCGTCATTGCTAGCAAGCAGTCGTTGTGCATAAAGAATCAGTTGAGCTGCGATTGTGTCTGAATTTTCAACATCTGAATCCTTAAATCCACATAGAAAATGTCGTTTGTATGCTTTTCGCTTCTCTCTATCGGCGTAGGTCATATCACGAAGCACTAAATAGACTACTTCACGGACCGCCTCAGTTGCTTCGTCAGTATTTTTCAAACGACTGCAAAGAGTCTCTAAAGGACGCTTCAAAATTTGTGCATAATAAGACTTTAAGTGTGATGTAGTATATCGTACATGTTGCACCGTTCGATTATGTGGTCCAAGCAATTTTTCCATCGAAGATCGAACGTTATCATTGTTAGATGAGTATTTCAGTAGCTTTTGATCAAATAGATCTTTTAATATTTCTTGTAATTGAGCACTCGCAAAGTCGCCATTATCTTGAACAAGCAATGTATGTTCTCGAAGAGATAGCGAGGAATTCAGTAGAGAAAAAAATCTTCGAGTACGATCTCTATAATTGGGATATGTTTGATTAATGTATTCTTCATAAGGAGCACTCTGACAAATCCAATCCATGAACAGTTTCTCTTCATTAACTAATAAACCGAGAACAGCGAATGTCGTTGTAACGGGTGGTTGCTTTTGATTATTTGAGTCGATGACTATCTTAAGGAAATCCGGATCCAAAAGAACGGAGCCATAAACGAGAATCCAAGTTAATGCGTTCTTATTGAGCAGATCATCAACTTCCTTGCGAAGTGTCTCATATTCCTTTGCATGCAATGTGGTATGTCCACGACAGCATGTATGTATTGGATTCGTTGTGACTGAATTAGTTGATGAAGGTTGACTTTTATGATCGAATATGCGATTTTGTATGGTCATTAATGCATCATAATTAGTCAAATTATTGACTTCAAATGACGTGCTAGTTTGTGAATAGTTTTGTATAAAATATTTTATTCGTTCATAGGCAGTTGTATCTGGTCCACCAGCGAGAATAATGAAATTTATTTGTGTTGAAGGTTTGCCAAAAATTTGACAGTAGGAACACAGAGAATCGACCATGGTTCTTATTACGTGAAATCTATTAAAATGAAATTCTCAAAATTGCGTTGTTTTTCATCTGATAAGAAAAAAAACACAGTCGTACTGGTAATTCAACACGCTCTGTTTTATTAGTAGATGTTGACTTAGAGAGAGCGCACATTTTTTGCTTGAATAAAGCACTGCAGTGGAGAATTTTTCTTATCGGATTACAGCCGAATGTCTTCTCATCGTGGAATACTATTGCACGATGATTATTTTTCATAGCAACAAGGGAAAAAAAACCAATAGCAATCTGATGCACTTCATGCTTGAGTAAATGCAATGCTCATCTTCGCATTGGGCTCGTTTTCAAGTCGAGTGAAAAGTGAAATGGGACATTTGTCAAACGTGAAATTTTATTTAAACATCATATTTATTGACTTCATATAGAATGTGTGATGTAACATAGATAACAAATTGTAACAAAACAGACGTAGATGTGCTGAAATAAAAAATATATCTCGAAATTATTGTATATAAAAAAGTGATTGTTGGATTAAAAATCATTTGCACTCGAGTGTTCTTTTTCAACATGTTTTGCAAGTTCGTCATTGCTGCCAAACCAGTCGCCACACTCATCACAAGAAACTTCCAATTCTTTGACGATTTGGCAATTCGCATTGGTTTTCTTGTGCATTGCAAGATTTTTTTTCAGATCCCAATAAACTTTTATGTTCGGATCTTGTATATGAATGCTTCGTCTATGTTCCAGAAGATCGTCATGTAAATCAAACGATTCCTTACAGTGATTACATCCATATTTGACAAACACTTCGTCATCGTTACAACTTGGCATATGTTGTTTAACTAAACCTATAATTTCGTTCAGGGTGATCTCCGGCGGATTGCTGACTGTCTGAATGAATAGCCGACTTCTCCCATGGTATTTTTGCTTAGTGAACAGTTCTTCAGCACTGCAAGAATTCGAACCAATGATAATGATTATCGATGTGAAATGATCGCATTCCTTTTTGAGGGTATCGATAATATTTTGACCATTTGAAGACGGCAGTACAGATACATTAGATATACCTGGGTGTGGCATTATTTTTTCCTGAATTAACGTTGGATCAGCACAAAAGATGTAGAATTTACAGCTGCCGGGAACTTTTGATAACCCTCTGATATTGCCGAGAATGATTTCCATACGATCATCGTCACCATCAAATAGAACAAGTTGATTTGCGTTCGAAGCCATAAAATGTGAATATACTGCGTTCACTGCGATTTTCTAACACAGAATTCTGACAAGAAACCAGCTTTTTTATATGATAAAAATTTCCCAGTTGAAATAGAATTTTGCAACTATATGTAAGATTTGTTTCTTTCCAGTGTGTGATAACATTACTAAAAACTCAGAGGAATCAGATAATTGTTCTTTCACCTCCTTCTTAACAAATGACAATGTTGTATTCTCAATAGAAAATTTCACAACTGTATCGTAACATTAATTTGTCAAAGCAAACAACGTCACTGCGTATTTTTCAGACAGATTTATGTCCTTTTACTACCGAGTTTATTTTTTCTTCCTATTTGTTTTTCTTTGTAACAGACGGCAATAAAAAAAATGACAGAAACATTTTTCGCGGAATAAACTTGCCTCGCTGCTTTGTATTTAAAAGATCTCGTGTGCTCGTCATTCCCATTGCTAAAAATCAAGCCCGACATGAGTCGTAAGCCGGTGAAAAGCAACGTAACGAAATCTAAAGTTGCAGCAAAGCCGTCACCACCAGCATCCTCGGCTGTTGAGACACAAGTCAAAGTGGAAAAATTCAAACATGATTGTGCAACGGAAAACTTCAATTTAGTCTGGCTTGATGAAAACTACGACGAGATGAATTCGAACTGCTCCGTCTTAACTGCCAAATTATCGACCATCATAAGAAATCTGTATATTTTCAACGATGTTGATGAATGTATCAAACGTATCAACAGTATTCGAGATCTGGATGTATATCTGATATTATCGAATCCGACTGAAGATGCTCTTGCTCATACTCACCAATTAGGCCGAGTGAAAGTGGTATTTATTTTCGATGATCGCAATTCGTCGAATCCATCATGGAAAGGTCAATGGAAAAAAAGTACAAGGAATATACAAGGATATCAATACACTCTGCCAGTTCATCAAGGAAACGGCAAAGTATTACGACGAGGAATACAAAGAATTTAGTTGCATCGCGCTGCAAGATCTAGACAAACGTGATGTCGATGAACTNCTCAATGAGCCGCATATCGATTCTCGCATATCCTTGTCCTTAAATGTTTCTCTTCGATGGCATATCTTTCTAATGAACTGTTCAGCTTGCTCGCTTGTGATCTGATCAGGTGAGACATCTGATAATTGATCGATGTCATCTGTTTCGTTCACAGTACTGTCTTTTTCTGACGAAGTACTCGTCGAAATTTCGCCAGATTGGATGACGACATTCGCAGAAGTACCTGATTTTATTAAACGATCGATCTCTTTGGCCATTCGAATATTCTCTTTTTGATATTCATCTCGATCGACCTTTGTACGTTGTAATTCTTCTTCGAGATGTTGAAATCTTTCATTAAGTAATTGCTTTTCCTGTTTCAAGTGTTCATAATCGCATTTTAATTGTAAAATGTTAATTTTCTCCCATTCGCTATCATATAATTTCTGAAAATCCTTCAATTGCTTTCCAGTTTCGTCGCGTTGACCTAACATTTGAAGCTGCTCATGCAACGAATGGTATGCAGATAGTAGATCTTTCGTAGATGTTGAAGGTTTCTTTGGCTGATTGACGGGTTCAACCATTGTGATGACGTTAGGTGTTTCAACATATCCTTTCTCATCCTCGTCCTCGTCCTCGTCATTGTGCTCCGTTTTTGATCGTACCAGTAGAGAGTACAAACGAAGGGGTATATCGACTTTGTTCATGTGAGATGAGCTACTTCGAAATAACACTCCAATAGTGGATGGAATTATTGTCAGTAGACGGACTTGTCGTTTTACCGTAGTACTGATTGGGATCGAACCATTAATAAGGAACGATGTAAGCAGAGCATATAATTGGATGATCAACAGCAGTTTGTTATTAGACCTGTCTGCAATTTGAGATGATACAGCGAACTTTGAATCGGCTAGAACTTCGATAGCGTCAACAATTGTGTGAACGTCATCTGCTGTCACTTGCGAAGAATGGTCAAAACTTGCATAGAAAAGAGATGATAAAACTTCGAAATTAACCCAGTTTGCTAAAATTTCGGTATGTTGAAAACAGTAGTCTATTTCCGATAACATTCGTGATTTGCGCTCATCTGATCTAAAAAATACTCTGTTGACATTCACATCTAAGTTTTACAAGACCTACTCAGAATCGAATGAGAGTGCTTCATCACGGTACATTTCCTTCAGTCGTTGATATGGTAATAAAAGCTGCATAATTGCATTTAAAATTTTTCGTGCTGTTGATGTATCGACTGATAAATAAACATTGGCATATCTATGTTCATTTAGATCAGCATTAAGAATCTTTTCACAGAGATCCAAGCCAGCGAGTTTAAGAGCATAATTTTGATGGCATACGAGTGAAAGACTCAATTCGAAAGTCTCGCGCGTGTTACTGAATAGTTTGTGACGAAAGAAAAAGTGTTTCGATACTTGGCAGATGCACCAGAGAATTGCATAGAGAAGAGAAAATGTCGATTCATCATAGCTAGCAAGCAGTCGTTGTGCGTAAAGAATCAGTTGAGCTGCGATTGTGTCTGAATTTTCAACATCTGAATCCTTAAATCCACATAGAAAATGTCGTTTGTATGCTCTTTGCTTCTCTCTATCGGCGTAGACCATATCACGAAGCACCAGATAGACTACTTCACGGACCGCCTCAGTTGCTTCGTCAATGTTTTTCAAACGACTGCAAAGAGATTCTAAAGGACGCTTCAAAATTCGTGCATAATAAGACTTTAAGTTGGATGTAGTATATCGTACATGTTGCACCGTTCGCTTATGTGGTCCAAGTAATTTTTCCATCGAAGATCGAACGTTATTATCGTTAGATGAATATTTCGATAGCTTTTGATCAAATAGATCTTTTAATATTTCTTGTAATTGAGCACTCGGCAAGTCACCATTATCTTGAACAAGCAATGTATGTTCTCGAAGAGATTGCGAGGAATTCAGTAGAGAAAAAAATCTTCGAGTACGATCTGCATAATTAGGATACGTTTGATTAATGTATTCTTGATAAGGAGCACTCTGACAAATCCAATCCGTGAACAGTTTCTCTTCATTAACTAATAAGCCGAGAACAGCGAATGCCGTTGTAACGGATGGTTGCTTTTGATTATTTACGTCGATGACTATCTTAAGGAAATCCGGATCCAAAAGAACGGAGCCATAAACGAGAATCCAAGTTAAGGCGTTCTCATTGAGCAGATCATCAACTTCTTTGCGAAGTGTCTCATATTCCTTTGCATGCAATGTGGTACGTCCACGACAACATGTATGTATTGGATTCGTTGTGACTGAATTAGTTGATGCAGGTTGGCTTTTATGATCGAATATGCGATTTTGTATGGCCATTAATGCATCATAATTAGTCAAATTATTGACTTCAAATGACGTGTTAGTTTGTGAATAGTTTTGTATGAAATATTTTATTCGTTCATAGGCAGTTGTATCTGGCCCACCAGCGAGAATAATGAAATTTATTTGTGTTGAAGGTTTGCCAAAAATTTGACAGTAGGAACACAGAGAATCGACCATGGTTCTTATTACGTGAAATCTATTAAAATGAAATTCTCAAAATAGTGTTGTTTTTCATCCGATAAGAAAAAAAAACACAGTCGTACTGGTAATTCAATACGCTCTGTTTTATTAGTAGATGTTGACTTAGAGAGAACGCACATTTTTGCTTGAATAAAGCACTGCAGTGGAGAATTTTTCTTATCGGATTACAGCCGAATGTCTTCTCATCGCGGAATACTATTGTACGATGATTATTTTTCATAGCAGTAAGGGAAAAATCCCAATAACAATCTAATGCACTTCATACTTGAACAGATACAATGCTCATGTTCGCGTTGGGCTCGTTTTCAAGTCGAGTAAAAAGTGAAATAGGACATTTGTCAAACGTGAAATTTTATTTAAACATCATATTTTACTTCATAGAATGTTTGATGTAACATAGATGTGGTCACATTACAAATATACCTCGAAATTATTGTATATAAAAAAAAAGTGATTGTTTGATTAAAAATCATTTGCACTCGAGTGTTCTTTTTCAACATGTTTTGCAAGTTCGTCATTGCTGCCAAAACAGTCGCCACACTCATCACAAGAAACTTCCAATTCTTTGACGATTTGGTAATTCGCATTGGTTTTCTTGTGCGTTGCAAGATTTTTTTTCACATCCCAATAAACTTTCATATTCGGATCTTGTATATGAATGCTTCGTCTATGTTCCAGAAGATCATCATGTAAATCAAACGATTCCTTACAGTGATTACATCCATATTTGACAAACACTTCGTCATCGTTACAACTTGGTATATGTTGTTTAACTAAGCCTATAATTTCGTTCAGGGTGATCTCCGGCGGATTGCTGACTGTCTGAATGAATAGCCGACTTTTCCCATGGTATTTTTGCTTAGTGAACAGCTCATCAGCATGGCAAGAATTCGAACCAATAATAATAATTATCGATGCGAAATGATCGCATTCCTTTTTGAGGGTATCGATAATATTTTGACCATTTGAAGACGGCAGCACAGATACATTAGATATACCTGGGTATGTTATTATTCTTCCCTGAATTGACGCTGGATCAGCACAAAAGATGTAGAATTTACAGTTGCCGGGAACTTTTGATAACCCTCTGATATTGCTGAGAATGATTCCCATACGATCATCGTCACCATCAAATAGAACAAGTTGATTTGCGTTCGAAGCCATAAAACGTGAATATGTTGGATTCACTGCGATTTTCTAACACAGAATTCTGACAAGAAACTAGCTTTTTATATGATAAAATTTCCCAGTTGAAAGAGAATTTCGAACTATATGTAAAATTTGTTTCTTCCCAGTGTATGATAACATTGCTAAAAACTCAGAGGAATCAGATAATTGTTCTTTCACCTCCTTAACAAATGACGATGTTGTATTCTCAATAGAAAATTTCACAACTGCATCGTAACATTAGTTTCTCAAAGCAAACAACGTCACTGCGTATTTTTCAGACAGATTTATGTTCTTTTACTACCGAGTTTATTTTTTGTTCCTATTTGTTTTTCTTTGTAACAGACGGCAATAAAAAAATGGCAGAAACATTTTTCGCGGAATAAACTTGCCTCGCTGCTTTGTATTTAAAAGATCTCGTGCACTCGTCATTCCCATTGCTAAAAATCAAGCCCGACATGAGTCGTAAGCCGGTGAAAAGCAACGTGACGAAATCTAAAGTTGCAGCAAAGCCGCCACCACCAGCGTCCTCGGCGGCTGAGACACAAGTCAAAGTGGAGAAATTCAAACATGATTGTGCAACGGAAAACTTCAATTTAGTCTGGCTTGATGAAAACTACGACGAGATGAATTCGAACTGCTCCGTCTTAACTGCCAAATTACCGACCATCATCAGAAAACTGTATATTTTCAACGATGTTGATGAATGTATCAAACTTATCAACAGTATTCGAGATCTGGATGTATATCTGATATTATCGAATCCGACTGAAGATGCTCTTACCCATACTCACCAATTAGGCCGAGTGAAAGTGGTATTTATTTTCGATGATCGCAATTCGTCGAATCCATCATGGAAAGATCAATGGAAAAAAGTACAAGGAATATACAAGGATATCAATACACTCTGCCAGTTCATCAAGGAAACGGCAAAGTATTACGACGAGGAATACAAAGAATTTAGTTGCATCGCGCTGCAAGATCTAGACAAACGTGATGTCGATGAACTCGGTCAATCGTTTATGTATACTCAATTACTCAAGGAAATTCTTCTCGAAATGAAATATGGTACGACATGTAATAAAGAATTAGCTGAATATTGTCGCAAAAAGAAAAATGTTCTTAACAATGATTTAAAACGCTTGGACGAATTTGAACAAAATTACAAGCAAGAAAAAGCAGTATGGTGGTATACTACGGAGAGTTGTATCTATGGTTTGGTTAACAAAGTGTTACGCGAACAAAAATTCGATTTCATCATCAAGTTTGGCTTTTTTATTAAAGATCTACACTTGCAGATAGAACAACTACATGAAGACCAAGCATCGAAGAAAAAGGATAATCCAACCCTTTATCGTGGTATCAGTATGACGGAGAAACAATTCAAAGAGCTACACAAAAGCGAGAAGGGATTGTTAGCATTCAATAGTTTCGTATCAACTAGCCGGGATCCAACAATAGCGCAAGGGTTTATTCAACGCTCTTTGGGAGCAAATCCTCGTCTAATCGGAATCCTGTTCATCATTAATGTTGATCCATCGATTTCATCGACCAAATATGCTGATATTGAAGAGATAACTGACGTGCATGGAGAATCAGAAACTCTATTTTCTCTGGATGCGGTCTTTCGTATTGGAAGTATAACTCAAGTTCAAGATGAACCACAAGTATGGACCGTAGAACTCGATCTAAGCGATAATCGCGACAAAAAACTCAATACTCTCATGGATCGTATGCGACTTGAAATCGATGGATTAACGGAGTCGTACAAATTAGGCAGTTTAATGATGAAAGTTGACCAATATGATGTAGCAGAAGAAATTTATAATAAATTAAATGACGAAACCAATGATGAACGAGAAAAAGCGAATATTCAACATCAATTGGGATACATAAAATATAAACAAGGAAAGTCAAAGGAAGCTCTCGATTGGTACCAACGAGTATTGGACGTCTATGTAAAGATTCTCGGAAATGAGCATAAAAATGTCGCTGCAGTTTACAATAACATCGGCTTAGTTTATGACAGTCTCAATGAGTATTCAAAAGCCTTGACTTATTATCAAAAGGCTCAACAAATCTATGAAAAAACTTCAGCGAATGATCCCGTTCTAGCGACATGTTACAATAACATAGCGTCAATCTATGCTACCATAGGAGACCATCAATCAGCACTAAATTATTACCAGAAATCATCTGAAATCAGTCAGAAATTGCAGGCTACCAACCATCCTGACTATGCTACTTTGGAAAATAATATTGGTCTGATTTATTTGACACGTGGAGACTTTAAAGAAGCTTTCAAATACTTTCATAATGCGGTTAAAATTGGTACGAAATCGTTGCCTGTTGACCATGCAGATTTGACAACTTATCAAACTAATCTCAAAATGGCAACCGAGAAACTGGACAAGTATAAATAACGATACTAGTGGTTGGTTCAAAAACTTTACTATAATCTCAACTGAATACAATGCACAAACGCGTTTTCTTATCGAGTATTTTAGAAAAATACAATGTAGTAACTCTTGAATAAAATAGTAGTGTGTATATAATGTCGAATAGTAAAATTAATATCTGGGATCGTTTGTTGTATCATCATTCATATGTGCTCGTAATTCTTGCTCGCGTAGAATTGATCTGCGATACTTTTCAGTAAGCCTTCGTATCTCGTGTTCATCTTTCAATCCCTGCTTTTGAAATTGTTTGACAATATATTCTTGCTCTTCCAACGATTGCCTTAAATTCAGTACTTCATCTTCTTTTTGTTTCTTCAAATCATTGGCGGATCTTTCTGGACTGATACGCATCTGATTGATTGGTAGAGGATCTCTCACGCTTAAGAACTTCTCGATCAGCTGTGTACGATAGTCAACCGCTGCAAAATATTGATTGTACACGCATTCGCTACCATTGTTGTAATCATCTCGATTTATTGAACCGGAAAACAGAATTCCGAGTTTAAAGAATGGAGCGATTTTATGAAAAGCAGCATCTTCTACCAATTCTTTTCGCAATTTCTCACGTTGTTCTTCGTTTTTCGATTCACAATGTGTTATAATTAAGCAGGAATTTTTCGATGTCTCTTCACCAAAATACTCTATTAATGTTTCGATTGACTGTATATCTTCCCTGTTGATACCAACTGTCACAGAGACACAAAAGCAAATAGCGTGAAATTTTGTAATTTCCATCGTGGCGCACAGTTTGATTGCGTTTAAAATGGTGTCGTTGTCGCGGATGTCAACTTCTTTGCTACCGCGTTCGAACAAACCCGGTGTATCGATAATATTAATAACAGTGTCCTTGTCTTTTAAATTAAATGCTTGGAATTGTGGATCTCTTGTTCCGGATTTCAACGTCAATTCGCTCGGAACGCTCGTCGGATCAACTAACAGTGCTTTGATCGTTGATTTGCCGGTGCGTGTACGTCCAATGATTAAAATATTCACATGCTCAACTTTTTTCATTTTATACAGACCATTTTCTTTAAAATCCTGGACAATTTCCTGGGTAATTTTGTTTCGCTTTGACTCCAAATTATCCGTACGATATCGTTCGCGCAGTGTGCTCTGAAATGAACAGAATATCAGTTGGTACCCATTCAATATTAGTTCTGAATAAGCATGTTGGCAGCTTCTTTTTCTACGTCAAAGAATATACATGATATTTACCGAACTCTTTTTGTCAGACATAATAGAACACATTGATTTTGACCAAATGAGTGTACTGGTTCGATATAGTGTTTACTTCGATTGCTTACATGTAAAATCTTCCAGTTCTCTGTAATGCGTTGTCGTTTTATAGCTGCTGCTCAGTTCATATAATTTTTTCCAAGAAGCCCGTAAATCGAGAACATACGCTTTTTTTCAAATGTATGACGTCAGAAATAAAGAATGAGATTTTATGTTGGAATAAAAATACTGACAAGGAAGAGAATGCAGAGTAGATGGCGGGTAGAATGTAGGTTTTCTCCTAGCTACAACAACGTTTACACCCGCAAAAAATACATTTTATTATTCGTCATTTAATTCAACAAAGAAAGACAAAGTGTATGATTAATGTTTCCTGACGACTCATCGCTTTGGTCGATGTTGAATCTTTGTATTCGATGATTTCCCCAATCGGCTACGTAAAGATTTCCATCTACATCGAATGCTAAACCTTGAGGATTCTGTAATTGATTCGCGTCATTTCCTTCACCATATCCGCCAGCAATAATAGTTCCTTGTGCCATTCCTTTGCAGAAGCGCATCACACGATGATTAGCATTATCAGCCAAGTAGATTGTTCCTAATGCATCAACTATTAATCCATCAGGATGCGATAGTTGTGTCAGTTTATCACCTTGACCTCGACCACCAGCAACAAGAACTCCTTCTTTGGCGTTCTTTTCCCACATCATGACACGATGATTTCCATTATCGGATACGTATACAGATTGATCTTCATCGACGAAAACAAATGTTGGCCAGCTGAGCTGATCGAGATCGTTTCCTGGTCCATTGCCGCCGGCTACGATCGTTCCAATTGTATCACCTGCACGATATCGTCGAACTTCATGTAGCTCGCTATTAGAAACATAGACAAATCCTTGACAATCCATCGTTAGACGCTGACATGCTAATTCCGATAGTATCGTCTCTCCGCTTTTACTATTTTGACGAGACCATCGAACGATTTGTTCATTTTTCGAATCACTAACAATGACATTGTCATTATGAACGATCACATCTGTTGGTCCATTTAACTGATCAGATCGACGTCCTGGTNCTCTGGATGCGGTCTTTCGCATTGGAAGTATAACTCAAGTTCAAGATGAACCACAAGTATGGACCGTAGAACTCGATCTAAGCGATAATCGCGACAAAAAACTCAATACTCTCATGGATCGTATGCGACTTGAAATCGATGGATTAACGGAGTCGTACAAATTAGGCAGTTTAATGATGAAAGTTGGTCAATATGATGTAGCAGAAGAAATTTATAATAAATTAAATGACGAAACCAATGATGAACGAGAAAAAGCGAATATTCAACATCAACTGGGATACATAAAATATAAACAAGGAAAGTCAAAGGAAGCTCTCGATTGGTACCAACGAGTATTGGGCGTCTATGTAAAGATTCTCGGAAAGGAGCATAAAAATGTCGCTGCAGTTTACAATAACATCGGCTTAGCTTATGACAGTCTCAATGAGCGTTCAAAAGCCTTGGACTATTATCAAAAGGCTAGACAAATCTATGAAAAAACTTCAGCGAATGATCCCGTTCTAGCGACATGTTACAATAACATAGCGTCAATCTATGCTGCCGAAGGAGACCATCAACCAGCACTAAATTATTACCAGAAATCATCTGAAATCAGTCAGAAATTGCAGGCCACCGACCATCCTGACTATGCTACTTTGGAAAATAATATTGGTCTAATTTATTTGACAAGTGGGGACTTTAAAGAAGCTTTCAAATACTTTCATAATGCGGTTAAAATTGGCACGAAATCTTTGCCGGTTGACCATGCAGATTTGACAACTTATCAGGATAATCTCAAAATGGCAACTGAGAAACTGGACAAGTATAAATAACGATACTAGTGGTTGGTTTAAAAACTTTACTATAATCTCAACTAAATACAATGGGCAAACGTGTTTTCTTATTGAGTATTTTAGAAAAATACAATGTAGTAACTCTTGAATAAAATAGTAGTGTGTATATAATGTCGAATAGTAAAATTAAAATCTCGGATCGTTTGTTGTATTATCACTCATATGTGCTCGTAATTCTTGCTCGCGTAGAATAGCTCTGCGATACTTTTCAGTAAGCCTTCGTATCTCGTGTTCATCTTCCGACTCCTGCTTTTGAAATTGTTTGACAATATATTCTTGCTCTTCCAGCGCTTGCCTTAAATTCAGTACTTCATCTTCTTTTTGTTTCTTCAAATCATTGGCGGATCTTTCTGGACTGATACGCATCTGATTGATTGGTAGAGGATCTCTCACGCTTAAGAACTTCTCGATCAGCTGTGTACGATAGTCAACCGCTGCAAAATATTGATTGTACACGCATTCGATACCATTGTTGTAATCATCTCGATTTATAGAACCGGAAAACAGAATTCCGAGTTTAAAGAATGGAGCGATTTTGTGAAAAGCAGCGTCTTCAACCAATTCTTTTCGCAATTTCTCACGTTGTTCTTTGTTTTTCGATTGACTGTATATCTTCCCTGTTAATGCCAACTGTCACAGAGACACAAAAGCAAATAGCATGAAATTTTGTAATTTCCATCGTGGCGCATAGTTTGATTGCGTTTAAAATTGTGTTGTTGTCGCGGATGTCAACTTCTTTGCTACCGCGTTCGAACAAACCCCGTGTTTCGATAATATTAATAACAGTGTTCTTGTCTTTTAAATAAAATGCTTGGAATTGTGGATCTCTTGTTCCGAATTTCAACGTCAATCCGTTCGGAACGCTCGTCGGATCAACTAGCAGTGCTTTGATCGTTGATTTGCCGGAGTGCATACGTCCAATGATTAAAATATTCACATGCTCAACTTTTTTCATTTTATACTGACCATTTTCTTCAAAATCCTGGACAATTTCCTGGGTAATTTTGTTTCGCTTTGACTCCAAATTATCAGTACGAAATCGTTCGGGCAGTGTGCTCTGAAATGAACAGAATATCAGTTGGTACCCATTCAATATTAGTTCAAAATAAGCATGTTGGCAGGTTCTTTTTCTACGTCAAAGAATATGCATGATACTTACTGAACTCTTTTTGTCAGACATAATAGAACACATTGATTTTGACCAAATGAGTGTACTGGTTCGATGTAATATTTACTTCGATTGCTTACGTGTAAAATCTTCCAGTTCTGTGTAATGCGTTGTCGTTTTATAGCTGCTGCTCACTTCGTACAATTTTTCCCAAGAAGCGCGTAAATGGAGAACATACGCTTTTTTACAAATGCATGGCGCCAGAAATAAAGAATGAGATTTTATGTTGGAATAAAAAATACTGACAAGGAAGAGAATGCAGAGTAGATGGCGGATAGGATGTAGGTTTTCTCCTAGCTACAACAACGTTTACACCCGCAAAAAATACATTTTATTATTCGTCATTTAATTCAACAAAGAAAGACAAAGTGTATGATTGATGTTTCCTGACGACTCATCGCTTTGGTCGATATTGAATCTTTGTATTCGATGATTTCCCCAATCGGCTACGTAAAGATTTCCATCTACATCGAATGCTAAACCTTGAGGATTCTGTAATTGATTCGCGTCATTTCCTTCACCATATCCGCCAGCAATAATAGTTCCTTGTGCCATTCCTTTGTAGAAGCGCATCACACGATGATTAGCATTATCAGCCAAGTAGATTGTTCCTAATGCATCAACTATTAATCCATCAGGATGCGATAGTAGGGTCAGTTTATCACCTTGACCTCGACCACCAGCAACAAGAACTCCTTCTTTGGCATTCTTTTCCCACATCATGACACGATGATTTCCATTATCGGATACGTATACAGATTGATCTTCATCGACGAAAACAAATGTTGGCCAGCTGAGCTGATCGAGATCGTTTCCCGGTCCATTGCCACCGGCTACGATCGTTCCAATTGTATCACCTGCACGATATCGTCGAACTTCATGTAGCTCGCTGTTAGACACATAGATAAATCCTTGACAATCCATCGTTAGACGTTGACATGCTAATTCCGATAGTATCGTCTCTCCGCTTTTACTATTTTGACGAGACCATCGAACGATTTGTTCATTTTTCGAATCACTAACAATGACATTGTCATTATGAACGATCACATCTGTTGGTCCATTTAACTGATCAGATCGACGTCCTGGTCCACGCCCACCCGCAATTAATCGACCTCTCGTTGCACCATCTGTCCATTCTACGATACGATCATTNTGACATGCTAATTCCGATAGTATCGTCTCTCCGCTTTTACTATTTTGACGAGACCATCGAACGATTTGTTCATTTTTCGAATCACTAACAATGACATTGTCATTATGAACGATCACATCTGTTGGTCCATTTAACTGATCAGATCGACGTCCTGGTCCACGCCCACCCGCAATTAATCGACCTCTCGTTGCACCATCTGTCCATTCTACGATACGATCATTCAAACAGTCAGCAATTATGATAGTTCGATCTTTATCGATGAAAAGACCGATTGGACCATTGAGTTGATTGAGTTCACTACCGTTTCCGTGACCACCTGCTACTGTGATGCCTTCTTGTACCCACTTTGTCTTCGCAGGAATATTTGGGATTGTATTTGTTGTATTTGCTTTACTATTTTTATTTGATTGAGCTTGTTCTTTGATCATGAGCGCCTTTTCCTCCCATTCCATACTTTTGTCATATTGTTGACTCTGTGCGGTAACTTCAGCTAGTTCATCGTAAAGAATAGCAAGAAACGGGTGATTTGGTGGAAAGTCATGAATGAAACGTACAAAATACTTTTCTGCTAAATCAAATTTACCCATTCTCGCCAATATCTTTCCGAATATTCGAAGATTTGTTACTCCTACTCCATTTTGACTTTTCCTATTGAGCAGAACTTGTTTCAGCGCATTAGCATCATCGCTACATAGATCCATTCGAATAATCCATACATTGTCTTCGTCAAGATCAACACTAGTCAAATGAAAGATCGAACCAAACATAAATAATACTTCATCTTCCGTGGGAAAAGAACTGTGCGCGCTGATCTCTGCAAATGGCTTCGTAGTAACCATCTGTGGGTCAGCAATAATTTCGAATAAAACTCGTTTCATAGTTGCTGATGACGAACTGCTCAGAAACGACAGAGCTGTTGATCGATTTGTACTCGTCGAAAAGAAGGAATTGATTGAAATAAACTCTCCTGACAATCGTTTAAGAATTTCCAATTCTTCGTCGGACATACATTGACTTCGATACACATTCAACACGCGTGTTGTCTGATATTCCTGAAGTTGATGATAAATATCGCCAATATACGAACGAAAGAGATAGATCATATGAATATTTTGAGTACGCAATGCAGCATTGAGAGTCTTGTAGAAGAATGTTTCACGTGTGTACCACCACAGGGCTTTTCCC